GGTCTTTTCCCACCTAAACCATTCTGGGACTCTAAACCAACACAAAAACGTGTGAAACAACTTACTGGGGGTCACTGCCTGTGCCCTGCCAGCGTGCGAGCTGCCGCACCCTCGCACTGCTCGAGGCGGGGGGCGGGGGGGGTGAAGGGGGTGTGAGCTGACATCCTTCTACCTCTGTAGCACTGGCTGCTATTTCAGAGCTCTGAGCCAAAAAGAGCATCTCGTTCTCCCCTGGGTCCCAGAACAGGAGCTTCCCCCCTCTCCGTTACCTGGATAAACACCGAGGTCCTCTTGGAAGGATCCCACAGGAACTCCACCGTGTTGAGCTGGGTCGGGTTTGCTCTGGGGTCGATGATGCCCACGGACATGGGGATATCTGCAGGGGCACATGTGGGGAACACGCTACTGCTTGCAGGAGGAGATTCCCAGGTAACACACGGCAGAACCGGGACAGCCAAGGGACCGGGAGCCCGGCTGGTGGCACTTCAGGCCCCCACACCTCCCGCCCGGCCAGGTCAATGCTGAGGACTCACCTATGTCCAGGATCCTGTCCCCAGGCCTGTTCCACCGCCAGCCCTCCAGCTGCTGGTGCTCCGTGTACTGCAGCCGCCGGTCATGGAACACCACCCGGAAAATGCTCTGGAGCAGAGAAACAGCAGACCTGCCTCCAAAATCTGACAGGCTCCAGGCTGCAAGGCCTTTCCCAGTCACAGAGGGGCCAAAGGCTTTGTGAGGGTGCCAAAGCAATAAAACAGCCCCTGCGGAGCCCTGGGACAGAAGCACGAAGGGCCTACCCCTCACCCATTAATTTAGGTAGAAAAACACGTTGGGAGGGCAGGAACAGACACGGGTCAGGCAACAGAGCTGCACCCCCCCTTGGAAATGTCTGTGGTGCTCACATCAGGAAGGGTGTTCTCGGGAAGCAGCTTCTCCTTATAAACAATAAACCTTTGGGAATGGCCTCTTGGCTCAAGCCCAGACTCCCCTGGACCGCTCGGGCACCACCAGCCAGGCTGGTCCCAACGGGGGGGAAGGGGAAAGGGAAACTCCAGCTCCCCCCCAGCAGGCCGTCCTGGGGGCTGCTGCAGGCAGGCAGAACAACCTCGCTCACTGCTCCCCACAGCACGGGACGGCCCAGACGGACACACAGACCCGTGGTCTTCGCTCACCTTTACCAGCTTCCCATTTATCTCTGGCAGCTCCCCGATCTTCCTGTTGTCCAGCATCCGGATCTCATAGGATTGCCCTGTGGGCAGGAAGAGAAGGGCACCCTGCCATTACTCGGGCACAGACCTTCGCTGCCGCCACACCACACACGCCCCTTGATCCTGCCAGCAGGTCGAGGGAGGTGATTCTGCCCCTGGACTCTGCTCTGAAGACCCCCCCTGGAGTGCTGCGTCCAGCTGTGGAGCCCTCAACATCAGAAGGATATTGACCACTTGGAGCGAGTCCAGAGGAGGCCACAAAGATGATCAGAGGGCTGGAGCCCCTCTGCCATGGGGACAGGCTGGGGGAGTTGTGCTTGTTCAGCCTGGAGAAGAGGAGGCTCTGAGGAGACCTCATTGCCGCTTTCCAGTATCTGAAGGGGCTACAAGGGTGCTGGGAGAGGACTTTTTACAAGAGCCTGTAGTGACAGGACAAGGGGTAACGGGTACAAATTGAAACCAGGGAGGTTTAGATTAGATATCAGGAAGAAATTCTTCCCAGAGAGGGTGGTGAGGCACTGGAACAGGCTGCCCAGAGATGTTGTGGATGCCCCATCCCTGGATGTCTTCAAGGCCAGGCTGGATGTGGCTTTGAGCAACCTGGTCTAGTGGAAGGTGTCCCTGCCCACGGCATGGGGGTTGGAACTAGATGATCTTTAAGGTCCCTTCCAACCCAAACCATTCCATGATTCTATGATTCTACGTTGTCGTGGGGAAGCACAGGAGCAGGAGCCGTTCCAGCCACAGCTCCAATGCCCCTCTCCAGGGATGGATAACCCTCCCCCTTCCTGCAGCATCACTTTCCAGGAATTGCACTTATTAACCCAAGATCAAGACCGGGGAAGAAATCAACTCCACAAGCCTCACTGGACTTGGGCTGCTCGTCCCCATCTCCCAGTTCCACCCGAAGGCTCGACCCTGCGGAACACCCGCAGGGACACTCCGGTTAAGCACCGCGCATCCCGCAGCTGCGGTGGGGTTCAATCCCACAGGCAGCAGAAGGCTGGCAGCAAGGATCTGGGCTTTACTGTCGAGGAGTTTCCTGTTCCCAAGGGGAAGTTTCCAGAGGCAGAAGTTGATTTGTCAGGGGGCCCACGGAGGGGCTGCTCTCACCTTGGTTGAGATAGGTGAGCGTTTCATCGTGGAGCTTGACGGCCGGGGAAGTGGCAGCACACAGCACGTACTGGAAAGGCAGGATTTTGTTCTCATTTTCAGGAGGCAAACTCGATTCTTCCTGCTTGAAGATGGGCAGGGCAAGGACATCGCTGCAAAGAGATTTGTCAGGCAGATTCATTTCAGCTCTAGCTGCAGAGAGAGGACGCTTTCGATGATGTGTGCTGGGGGCGGGAAGCTGGCCCTGAGCCGGCTGTGTGCGCTGGAGCCCGGGAAGCCAACCGGATCCTGGGCTGGATCCAGAGCAGCGTGGGCAGGGGGGGCGAGGGAGGGGATTCTCCCCCTCTTCTCCGCTCTGGGGAGACCCCCCTGCAGTTCTGCTCCAGCTCGGGGACCCCAACAGCAGCAGGACACGGAGCTGTTGGAGCGAGTCCAGAGGAGGCCCTGGAGATGCTCCGAGGGGTGGGGCCCCT